CAAGGCTCAGGGAAAGATTTTGTGTGAAAAACACATCCTAATGGTTTAAAAAAAAAAATCTGAACAAGATCAATAACAGATGTGTTTGTTTGTTTGTCTGTTTGTTCTAAACCTCTCCCTCAAATCATCCCTCAGCTTTCCCCATCCTCTCTGTTGGTCAGAGTTGAGCTGGACCTCCTTCTGAAATTCTACTCTCTAGCCACAGGGGCAGATAAATACCCATACAAACCTGTGCCACCCCCTGCCTCCACAAACGATGCTCTCCTACTCCTTCCACTGTGGGGAGACTTCCAAGATCCCAAGGAACCACATCCAGAACTTGTCACTCAAACCCCTTGGTGCCGTCTATTAGGTGGGCTCACTTAGGTTGGCTGGATCTGAAACCAGGACTCCTCACTACTTGCCCTTTTCCTTACAGGGATATATACCTGGGGCAGGTGGGCCTTATCTTCTCCCCTTCGCTCCGGTTTGGAAAGTGCCCTTTATCATTTGTGCGGATATGTGTCTATTGAGCGAATCCATCAGTGAATACCTATGTTGGATGGTGGGGTGGGCGGCCTGTCCTGTCCTTTCCTTATCTCAGGGCTCATTCAGATGGAAAGAGGCCCATGCTCAGTTGCTCTGTTTACTCTGCATTCTCTGCCCATTGTACATGAAATTGATCTGGGGGTTTTTGTTTTTCTTCTTTTCCTCCAATCTCCTGATTAGTTCAGCCTCAGAAAGTTCCTTATCACCCCCGGATGTCAGGCCAGCTCTGCCATCAGGCCTGGCCATGTTAGAGTCTCCATTAATTGATTTTGTCCTCCCCTCTTGGGAAGCACAAATTGGCTCTGCCCATTAACAGCAATAATTCCCTGAAAGAGATTATAAATCATGCCCCATGTCTGTCCATCGGTCACAGCAGGGTGATGCCCACGTGGGAGGTGTCAGGCAGGGAGATGGCACATTTGATGAGCATGTGGGAACAGTCCCTGCAGTCCAACAGGTTCTCACCTAAACCTGACCCAGTGCTGACCTCAGGAGATCACAGCCAACTAGAAAGAGTATCTAGAGTGGTTCTCAACACAAAGAGGGCGCTGGATTCATATGCATTGAATGACTAAAGGAAGAAAGAAGGGAAAAAGAAAGGGGCTTCTCTAAGGTGCAGAGTGCTTTCAGGACCTCTTTAAGAGAACACCCTCCAAGGTCGACCATTATGCTACTTTTCTTTGGCTTTTGTTATTGTTGTTGTTGTTGTTAGGTGCCATGAAGTCAGCTCTGATTCACAGCAACGTTATGTACAATAGAACAAAACACTGCCTGGTGTTGCACCATCCTCACAATCCTTGATATGCCTGAGCCCACTGTTGGCAGCCACTGTATCAATCCATCTCTTTGAGGGTCTTCCTTTTTCACTGACCTTTTAGTTTACCAAGTATGATATCCTTCTCCAGGGACTGTCCCTTCTGACAATATGATCAAAGTATGTGAGACAAAGTCTGGCCATTCTCACTAAGGAGCATTCTTGTTGTTGTTGTTGTTATGTGCCGTCGAGTCAGACTCAACTCATAGCGACCCCTCCTTGGGTTTCCGAGCAGTATCACTACGGAAGTAGATTGCCCAACCTTCCTTCCGAGGAGTGGCTGGACCAGCCTTCTGGTTAGCAGTCAAGTGCCTTAGGCACTAAGCTACCAGAGCACCTAAGGTGCATTACAGCTATACTTCTTCCAAGACAGCTCTGTTCGTTCTTCTGACAGTTCATGGTATTTTCAGTATTCTTCCCCAACACCACAATTCAAATGCATCAATTCTTCCTCAGTCTTTTTGAATCGTTGTCCAGCTTTCACATGCATATGAGGCTATTGAAAATACCATAGCTTCATCAGGCACACCTTAGTCTTCAAAGTGACATCTTTTTAGCCTAGAGTTTTCGGAAGTCCCCCTTTACGTTGGAAGTGCTCCTATGAAAGACTCTATCTCAAACAGCCAGGAATGCCTTGCTGGGCTTTAGGTGGTTTACTGAAAGCCTCAGTGTAAAAGAGTGATACAAGGGGTGCACCTAGAAGAAAGTAGAGATGAAGAAACACCAAATGGGGAGAGCCAGGAAAGATGGGAGGCCACTACACTTCAAGCTGACTTCACCAGCATGTAGTCAATGCTCCATAGATAGTCCATGAATTAATGGAATATTTTCCCTGCAGATAACCTGGTAGCATTTCCTGAGGGTGGAAAGCCACCAGTGAAAACTGATGCAGCCCTCCCTCTAACCCACCACATCTCAAGCGTCACTCCCTGGACTCAGCACATTGTTTTCACTCTCTTCTCCCATGCATAGTGGGAGTAGTGCATTCATATGCATTCTCTTTTCCTTCATGTGCTGCCACCTTAGAACAATGATCATAGCTTATGAATGGTGTCCAGATCCATCAAGGATACTTGAGGCTAAAGGCTATGTCCTGCTTAAGATCTTACAGAACCCTTCACTTATTGAGCTGCTCAGTAAAATGGGATTTGATCATCACATGGCTTTCAAGGTATAACTATAGCCCCTGCATCAAGCTAGAGACTAGTGAATGTGTAGGAGAGACAACTGCCAGCACTCTGCTGCCTTGTCTCCCCAAAACACTAGGGAAAACCAGGCAAGGAGGAGTTTCATGACCTCAGAATCTCTCTTCTTCCTCAAGCAAGCTCACCTCCCAGCAAGGCTCTGACTAGGTAACCCTGGGACCATGTGAGGTGGAACTTCTATGAGATGGTTGCAGTGGATCCCCACACACACACACACACACATGGCTTCAGAAGAACCCAGACATAGAATTCCAAAGAAATTATGCTTCCATCACTCCACCCCCAGGCAAGGTCATGACGAACCCACGTAACAGATGAGATGCTGCAGAGGAGGCATCTCAGCCAGGGATGGATTATTCAATAAGCAAGGTAAGCACAGGCTTACGTGTATTTACTTATTAATCTGTAACGAACAATTTCACATCAAAGATGTGGTGAAAAACATGTGAAACTGTTCACTATAGATTAGTAAGTAAGCACACTGACCTCAGCCTTCCTTCAGCACCTGTTTCAATGTCAGAATGTTCTTCTTACACATCCCTCCCTTCATCTCAACTCATTATTTTTGTTGTTGTTTTTGGTTTTATTTGTTTTGCTTTCAGCCTTACAGCAAATGGAAAATGATATGTTAATAACATCCTCTCAGTCATTCATATACTTGAAAATAGTAAAATTCTCCCCCTTGTTTTTGTTGTTGTTTATTGTTAGATGCCAGAGAGTTGGTTCTGACTCATAGTGACACTACATACAACAGAACAAAACACTGCCCAGTCCTGTGCCAGCCTCACAATCACTGCTTTGTTTCAGTCATGTGTCAATCCATCTCACTGAGGGTCTTACTCTTTTCTGCTGCCCCTTTACTTTTCCAAGCATGATGTCCGTCTCCAAGGATTGGTCCCTACTGATAACATGTTCAAAGTATGTGAGACAACGTCTCATCATCCTTGCTTCTAAGGAGTTTTCTGGCTATACTTCTTCCAAGACAGATGTGTTCATTCTTCTGGCAATCTATGATATATTAAATATCCTTTGTCAACATCATAATTCAAAGGCATTAGTTCTTCTTCAGTCTTCCATATCCATTGCCCAGCTTTCCCATGTATATGAGGTGATTGAAAATACCATGGTTTGGGTCAGGGACACTTTAGTCCTCAAAGTGACATCTTCGCTTTTTAACAGTTTAAAGCAGTCTTTTGCAGCAGATTTGCCTAATGCAATACGTCCTTTTATTTCTTCTCGTTGCTTCAATGGTGGGGTAGTGCCTAAGGCATTTGACTGCTAACCAGAAAGCTGGTGGTTCAAACCCACCAGCCACTCCTTGGAAGGAAGGCTGGGCAACCTACTTCTGTAGTGATACAGCTCAGAAACCCAAGGAGGCATCGCTGTGAGTCGGATCCGACTCCACGGCAGTGGTTGCATTGTGTGGCATTATGTTGCTTCAATGGGAATTGATGGTGGATCCAAGTGATATGAAATCTTTAACAGCTTCAATCTTCTCTCCATTTATCATGATGTTGCTTTTTGGTCCAGTTGAGATGAGTTTTTTCTTTATGTTGAAGTATAATCCATACTGAAGGCTGTAGTCTTTAATCTTCATCAGTAAGTCCTTCAAGTCTTCTTTGCTTTCACCAAGCAAGGTAATGTCATCTGCATATTGCAGGTTGTTAATGAGTCTTCCTCCAATCCTGATGTCAAGTTCTCTTCACATAGTCTAGCTTCACAGATTATTTGGTCAGCATATAGATTGAATAAGTATGGTGAAAGGATATAGCCCTGAAGCATACCCCTCCTGATTTTAAACCATGCAGTATCCCCTTGTTCTGTTCAAACAATTGCCTCTTGGCCTATGTACACATATTTTACATCAGCACAATTAAGTGTCCCAGAATTTCCATTCTGTGCAATGTTATCCATAATTCATTTTGATTCACACGGAAGAATGCCTTTGCATAGTCAATAAAACACAGGTAAACATCTTTCTGGTATTCTCTGCTTTCAGCCAAGATCCATCTGACATCAGCCATAATATCTCTCTTTCCACATCCTCTTCTGAATCCAGCTTAAATTTCTGGCGGTTCCCCTTTGATGAACTGCACAATTGTTTTTGAATTATCTTCATCAAAATTTGACTTGCATTTGACATTAATGATATTGTTTGGTAACTTCCACATTCTATTGGATCACCTTTCTCTGGAATGGCACAAATGAGGATCTCTTCCTGTCAGTTGGCCAGGTAGGTGTTTTCCAAATTTCTTGGTGTAGATGAGTGAGTGCTTCCAGTATTATATTTATTTGTTGAAACATTTCAGTTGGCATTCTGTCAATTGCTAGAGCCTTATTTTTCAGCAGTGCAGCTTGGACTTGTTCCTTTATACTATCTTTTTTTTTTTTTTTTTTTAATCATATGCTGCCTCCTAAAATAGTTGATTAATAACTAATTCTTTTTCATACAGTGACTCTGTATATCCCTTTCATCCTCTTCCTTGTCCTCTCAGGACAAGAAGCCAAAGTGGAGAAATCTCAGTCTGTAAACATGGCCTTTGCTATACCCTACAGGTCCATAGCAGAAGTTGCTGGACTCTTGGTTCTGCTCTCCAGACTCCTAGAGTCTTTCCCAGGTGCCTGAAACACAACAATTGCCCATCCTAGGAGTCCCTCCCTCCTGTGAAGGGAACAAGGAACAGAGGAATCTGCTGAAACCATGCCATAAAATTCCACCTCACATGGTGCCAGGTTTCCCTAGACAGCACCTTGCTGGGGAGTGTACTTGTCTTGAGGAAGAGAGTAATAGGGAATTAAAAAAAAAAAAAAAAGAGTATCTGCCACCACACCTCATTACAGAAACACAAGCTGAGAAATCAGAACCATCATATACTGCTGCTGGGAATGGAAAATCGTTCAGCCACTCTAGAAAACAGTCTGGCAAGTCCTCAGAAAGTTAAACATAGAGTTACCATATGGCCCAGCAATTCCATTCAAAAGTACATGCTCAAAAGAAAATGAAAACATACATACACACAAAAAGTTGTACCCAAATGTTTGTTACAGCATTATTCATCATAGCCAAGAAAAAAAGTGGAAGCAATCCAAATGTCTATAACTAATGAATGGATAAATAAAACGTGGTATAGCCATACAATGGAATATTATTCAGTCATAAAAAGGAATGAAGTACTCATACATACTACCATATGGATGAGCCTTGAAAACATCATGCCAAGTGAAGCCAGTCGCAAAGGGCACATATTACATGCTTCCATTTATTTATATGAAATATCCAGAATAGATAAATCCATACAGATGAAAAGATTAGTGGTTGCCAGGCATTGAGGGGGGGAAGGGGGCTGGGGAGATTGGATGGTAATAGATAAGGAGTGTGGGGGTTTTTTCTGTGGAGATGGGTCCACAACTCTGAGAATATACTAAAAACCAATGAATTGAATGCTTTAAATGGGTAATGTTTATGGTATGTTAATTATATCTCAATAAAGCTGTGACACACACAGGAACAAAGAACAGAAAAAAAGAAAGAAAACACACTGACATAGAGTCAATTCCAACTCATAATGACTGTATAAGGCAGAGTAGAACTGCCCCATAAGGTTTTTCAAACCAAAAACCAAACCAAACACATTGTTGTCAAGTCGGACCTGACTCATAGCAACCCCTCCTTGGGTTTCTGAGGCGGTACCACTACGGAAGTAGATTGCTCAACCTTCCTTCCGAGGAGTGGCTGGTGGGTTTGAACTGCTAGCCCTCTGGTTAGCAGTCAAATGCCTTAGGCACTATGCCACCAGAGCTCAAGGTTTTTTAAGGCTGGTCCAATCGAGGGCACATAACAACAACAACAACAAATGTAAATCTTTATGGAAGTAGACTGCCCCATCTTTCTCAATCACCTATCACCAAGTGGCTGATAGGTTCAAACCGCTGATGTTTTCGTTAGCAGCCAAATGTTTTAACCACTGCACCACTAAAGTGCCTCAGGGAAAAAGGAAAACACTCTTAATTCTGTGCACCCAGAGAGAGCCACTGTTAATGGCCTGGGGCCAGGATATACTTTTATTCACACATATATCTCACCAACATATTATCCTCTGAAGGGAAGGATTTCAGGCAAAATACATTATCAGCAAAAGTTATGAAGCAAATGCATCCAATTTATTAGGAGCACCAACCCTGAGGCTGTCCATGAGTGGGACTGTCATTTGTCTATTTACTTTATCCTGATTTGTCACCCAGGGTACTCATCCTTGGGTTCCCCCAATAGGCAAGTCCATTCTCCTAGCCCCATTTTGTAGCCAAGGCAACTGAGTAGAGGTTTATTCACACCCATTCAGATTTCTCCCCAGCTCCTAAGCTTGGGGATTTGAAGGCTGCTTGGAGTCTTCAGGCTTGGAGGCTGCTAAGAGAGCCCACTCAAGCCTGGGCAGAAGGGGCAGGCATAGCAGATTTGGCCCGGAAACACTCATCCAGTGTGGAGGTAGTGGATGAGCCACAATGACCTCAGGAGTACCTGGTAGGTGTCTTTGAGGGGTCCCTGCCACTGACTTGCTGATGTCCATGGGGAGAGAGAAAAAAAAAGGCCATGGTGGGGGGTGGTAGGCCTGTTTGCACTCGTGGCACTAAGTGCAGCCAAGCTGAGCTACATTGTTCAAACAGACTCCCAGCCTGCAGACACCTGTCCGAGGAAAGCGAGGTGGGTGGACTGAGGCTGGCCAGGTTCCTGGGCGTTTACTCCTGCCTGCTGCCTACCTCTCCTCCCACAGCCAGCCCCAAGGCCCTGGCCCAGTCCTGGCCACACCATGCCAAGCACTGGGCTCTGCAACTGCTGGGGTGGCCGGGTGCTGCCCTTGCTCCTGGCCTACATCTGCTACTTGCTACTCGGTGCCACCATCTTCCAGCTGCTGGAGAAGCAGGCAGAGGCTCAGTCCAGGGACCAGTTTCAGATTGAGAAGCTGCGCTTCCTGGAGAACTACACCTGCCTGGACCAGCAGGCCCTGGAGCAGTTTGTGCAGGTGAAGGGGAGTGATTGGGCGTGGGATGGAGAGGTATGGGAAGCAGGCCGAATGAGGGTTCTCGTGCTGGTCCAGAGACACTGACACCGAGGGGCTGACACCCTGTTGGAGGCAGAGTGGGAATAGAGAACCAGGTAAGTCCTTGATTCTGGCCTCAGTCTAAAAGTGGAATGCTATGTGATCTTGGCAAGTCACTTAACCTCTCTGGACCCAAATTTCCTCTTCTAGAAGGTAAAGAGAATAATCTTACCTGTGCTGCAAACATTTGACAGCAGATATAAAAGCAGTCTCTAAAGTGTCATTGGCTGCATAGACATGAATTGTCAGTGTTATCAACCCAGTTCAAATGTACTTCTCTCTCTATTCCATACTCTCCTAGCCCAACTCCAGAGCCACTACTCCTCCTGCTCTCTCTCCCCTGCTCTAGTCCATGTGCTGAACATTGTGAGGGTTGTGGGCAGGAGACACAGATGTGTTAGGAACAGCCACGATTCTGACCTTCCCTGGCCCGGTCCATTGGAGTTCAGCTTGGTAGGCATGGACCAGGGTGCCTGAGTTCTGCTAGTACCACACCCATGGCAGGGGGTGGGGGGGCATTCTTTGGTGACAGAGCAGTCATACCCTACCTGGCCCCTTCTGCTTCCTTGCACAGACCCTGGTCCCCTAGGCCTTAACCTCCCTGGCCCAGCACCCTCTCTACCAGAATCAAGTGCAATGGGGAAGCTGAATGCATTCCAGACAAAGAGGTTAAGCAAATGACAAATGACAACACCAACTCAAAGGAACAAGTCATGTACAGAATAATCATAATGATGATGTTGTTAGCTACTTCAAGTCAGCCCCCAACTCACGGCAACCCCATGTACACAGGATCAAACCATTTTCATCCATAGGCTTTCACTGGCTGATTTTCAGAAGTCGATCTCCAGGTCATTTTTTTCCTAGTTCATCTTAGTCTGGAAGCTCCATTAAAACCTGTTCAGCATCATAGCAACAGTGACAGACAGATGGTGGCTGTACATGAGGTGTGTTGACTGGGAATCGAACTTGGATCTCCCAGGGAAACACCAATGCCTCAATCTTAATGATAACTGGCATTTATTGAGCCAATAGAGCTAAAACAGTGGAAATGGGATTATCATGATGGGTTTAGACAAATCATGATCCTTGGCCTAGGGATGAGCATTTTATATGTTTTCTTCTCATAATTACCTATTATTATCATTAACTCCAGTCTGCAGATGGGAATTGTGGCAGTTAGTGATAGAGACAGAACTCCAGCCCAGGCCTTGGGAGTCCAGAGCCCTTGCCCCCTCCCCACATAAATGTAGCCTAAGTGCCGGGGAAGGATACAGCCTAAAGCAGTGGTTCTTAAAAGCTGGCCTCCAACAAACAATACTCACTCACTGCCGTCAAGTCGGATCTGACTCATAGTGACCCCTCCTTGGGTTTCCAAGGCGTTATCACTATGGAAGTAGATTGCCCAACCTTCTTTCCGAGGAGTGGCTGGTGGGTTTCAACTTCTAGCCTTCTGGTTAGGAGTCAGATGCCTTAGGCACTTTGCTACCAGAACTCCCCCAAGAAACAATAGTTTAGCTTAATTAATAAAATGGTCTGCCTTGAGCATCATGTTCTTTTCAGAACTTCCAACTAGTTCATTCCAAACTGGTTAAAAACTCTGCCTCTTTTAAGAACAATCTACAGGCATACCTCAGAGATATTCCAGGTTCAGTCCCAGACCACCTCAATAAACCAAATATTGCAATAAAGCAAGTCACACAGATTTTTGGTTTCCCAGTGCACATAAAAGTTATGTTTACATGATACTGTAGACTGTTAAGTATGTGATAGCATTATGAAAAAGTTTGAATTACCAAAATGTGAAACAGAGACACAAAGTGAGAACACGCTATTGGAGAAATGGTGCCATTAGCCTTGCTCAATGCAAGGCTGCCACAAACGTTCCATTTATAAAAAACACAATATCTGTGAAGTGCAATGAAATGAGGTATGCCTGTATGAGGGATTAAATTGACAATAGCAACTCAAAAGATTAGATAGGAACCTTAGGGGGCAGTGAGTTTATGTTAATGAGGAAGGAACAACTCAGAAAAGGAGGGTGAAAATGGTTGCACAAGTCAAAGAATGTAATCAGTATAATTAAATGGTATGTGTAGGAACTAATGAATTGAAGTATGTTTTGCTGTGTATGTTCTCAACAACATGATAAATCAAATTTAGGGGGGGAAAAAAGGGAGGCAAGATCAATAGCATCAGCATCACCTGGGAGCTTGTTAGAAATGCAAATTTTAGGGACCTCTGGTAGTGTAGTGCCTAAGGCACTTGACTGCTAACCAGAAGGCTGGCAGTTCAAACCCATCAGCCACTCCTTGGAAGGAAGGTGGGGCAATCTACTTCTGTAGTGATACTGTCTCAGGAACCCAAGAGAGGTCACTATGAGTCGGGACCAACTTGTTGGCACATAACAACAACACCCACCTAGAGGAGTTCTGGTGGCATAGTGGAAAAGACGTTTGGCTGCTAACTAGGTCACTGGTTCAAACCCACCACCTGCTCCGCAGGAAGAAAATGAGGCAAACTACTTCAG